CCTGTAACCCCAGCTCCCTGCCCCCCAACACAGCCAGGCCCATCCCTGCCCCCCTGCTCATCCCCACCACCACAACCAGGCCCATCCCTGCTCATCCCCCCACCTGTAACCGCAGCTCCCTACCCTCCAGCACAGCTAGGCCCCAGCTCATCCCCCCCGCCCGTAACCCCAGCTCCCTGCCCCCCAGCTCCCAGACGCCCCCCGCCTCACCTCGCCGCCCGGCCGCAGGGGGACTTGGGAGGCCGGTTCCCCAGACAAAGGTTCCGCCCCGGCCAGCACAGGGTTAATCTCTCCGCGCGGGGATTGGCGGCGATCGCTGTCAGTCAGATCCGGCCCGCCCTCTACCCAGCTGGGGCTGTCTCCTGGGCGGGAGAGCTCAGCGGCTTCACCCCCTACGGGCTCAGTCCGGCCCTGGGCGGAGGCACCCCCTGGCGTCCTTCACCCCCCTCCCCCGGGGTCGCGTGTTCGTGGGGCTGCCCCTCTGCAGCCTTGGGCTGGGGGCTGCGTGAGGAGAGCAGGGCGCGGAGGTGGGAGGAACCGGGCTGCGGGGGATCAGTGCAGAGAGTTGGGGTTAGGGGCCTGTCTGGGCTGATTGGGGGCCGGGAAGCTCCCCCCCCCCCGCATCCCCATTGTGAGAAGCTGTTTGGGTTGTTGCTGGAGGGGACCCAGCTTGGTTGGGTTGGGTTGGGAGGGGAGGGGGTGATTGTTCTGTTTTCTTGCCAGGGACATTGGTCGTGTGAACTCTTGTAGGAGTCAGGAGCCCTGGCAGTTCTGCTGGAACAATTTGTATAGTGGGGGTGCTGAGAGCCATTGAACCAAACTGTAAACCCTGGATATGATGGAAATTGCTTCAAGCTTGGGGGGCAACAGCACCCCTAGTTCCAGCACTTCTGTGCTCTGGACCCCAAGGCCTGCTTTGCACTAAGATGTGTAGCCTCCTAGCAGCTAGTCAGGGAAGGGAACCATGTTACAATAAGCTCCTGTCCTGTTGAAAGGAAGCGATCTGGCCACTACTCTCCACGTGCTCCATAATCACAGGATGCCAGGGCCTGGGGCTTTGAGAAAAAAACACCAAGCAACCCAAGACTCCCAAGAAAATTGTGAGAGTTGGCAACATTGAGAAGTGCCCCGGGACAATTATCCTCAGCATTTCTACAGCACAGGGCATTTACTAATTGAGATGGGTAGGGAGTCACTGAGAGCCTGGGGTGTCCCCAACTGAGTCATTATTGTCCTGGCTTTAATTTCTGACCCTCCTGAATCTTGCCAAGTAATCAACAGTTGCCACCTGCTCAATGTCTCATGTGGTCAGGTTAATACTGCACTGCTGTAGTCTGGAGGCTCTTTGGGCAATGGCAATGGAGTGAGTTTTGTCCCAATTAATAACCTGCCCAATGCTCGCTGCTGTTGCCTGAGCAGGTTGGTGAATCACTGCAGCTGATGTTGGCCAAAGTGAGCTAACAAGACCATGTCATTGGTATAGTCAAGTTCTCAAAGCAGCATGGAGTTCAGCTCCACACCACGGACAGCTGCCTCCTCAAGCGTATCCCTCAGCCAGTCAATGCTGATACTCCTGTGGCATGTGTTGTGTCTGTGTGGCTGGTTGGGGGCTAGCAGTGGTTATTGCTATGAGGAGTGGGGGTGGAGGCAGTGACTCTGTTATCCACACCCCACACCCCATTCCCCTGTCTCACCCCTTTCCCTTCTATGAATTTACCCTCCCCAGGGGTAAATCATGGCCCTGTGCTCCCTGCACCCACTCTCTGCAATGTCCTAGAGGAGGCACCAAGCATAGAGAACCTAGGGCCCATCGGATGGAAGGTGGGACACTGACCCCAAAGCAGAGGCACATCAGGGCAATTTCTGCCCCTGTGCACTTAATGTCATCCAACCAGATGGGGTCAGATCCTTCAGCAAACTGAGTCCCACCCGGTGCTGATAATGCCGTCCCACAGTCCAACTGCCTGCTTTCTTCTTCCGCATCATTTAAGTCACAGCTGTCATTCCACAGGCTATGTCACTCCAAACCCGGCTTAGCTTGTGCACAGGGCCCAGCCAAACTGATCTAGCCAATTGAAACCAACAGAAGTGTCCACATGGTTTTGCACCAGTTTAACTAAAGTGGTTTTTAAGCTGATTTAATTTAAATCAGGGCAAATTTTGTGTGTGGACAATGTCCATCCTGGCTCTTGCACTGGTTCCCATCACCCTAGTGTCTGATCTTCCAAGGAGAGAGCTCAGATGTTCTCTCAGACAATCTGGGAATGTGTGTGTGCTGCAAACCAGGGGAAATGCAAACTTCAGAGCTCTTGTAGCAAAGCTGGGTGAGGCTGCAGCACACGTCACAAGAGCTGTTCTGTCTTGCACTGCAGCACCGGGGAGGCTGCTGTAACACAGAGCAGCCCCGTGGCCTTCCTATGTTATGCCAGGCCCCATTTCAGCCCCACTGGCAGACTGGGATCAGAAGGGCACAGAGATGGCTGTGTTCCCCCTCATTTGCTTTGGGTTGTTCTTCCTGGAGATGCAGCATGAGAATTCACCCCGGATTCCTCTCTGTTCTTCAGGACCAGGGGAGAATCACTTCCATCACAGAGCGGGGTGGAAAGGAAGGCTAGCCCAAGGGTTAAGATGTGAGCCTGGAATGTGGGAGACCTGGCTCTGCCACAGACTATCTGTGTGACCTTGGTCAAATCGCTTCAACTTTCCTGGTCTCAGCTCCCCACCTCTGAGCTGGAGATGATAATAACCCTCCCCTTCCTTCCAGGGGTGCTTTGGGGACAGATTGTGAGGGACTCAGATACTATGGGAGCTGTGAAAGTGCCTGAGACAGAAACTCCAATGTCCGTAATAGGGCGAGCTGGGTTGAGCCCCCTGATGGGGAAGTGAGGTTCATTGGGCAGGTGAAAAATGACATGAATCCTAAGGGGTTGGGAAGCTTGAGCCCAGCCCCCACTGTGCTTCCTGCCCTTTGGAAACCCGACTCTGGCTGAACCAGTTTCTGATGCGCTTTGGCTGAGTGCAGCCAACTTTAAGGATTTTAAGACAAGCCTCATGATATTTGGTGGGTTTCTTAAAGCCCCAGCTCCAGGGACCACGTGAATCTCAGAAACAAATGATAAGTCACTTTCCAGCCCTTGCAGTTGAAGAGGAAAAGATTGAAAAGGTGAGTGGAGGGCACCCTAACGGCTCAGGCACCAGGAGCCGTGGGAAAGGAAGCCCAAATGTATTCCTTCAAAACGCACCCCAGGGCAAAACACACCCCAGAGTTTTGAAGCCGATCTGGTGATTACTGGATGCTTGAGTTTGTTAATACTGAGCAGGGATGGGCCCAGGCTAGACCTGAGGCTGGCTGGGAACTCAGTGCATCCCTTGATTGGTGGGTTGAATGTTGGTCTCCAGCCTCTGTTTTCTATTTGATCCAGCCCCAAGACTCCCGTGCTGCATTTCAGTGTCTGGGGGAGAGGGATGGTGTTGTAGCATCAGAAGGGTTTCTTTAGATCTAGCCCCCTGGCAGCATTTGTCTCTAATTTCTCTGCTCAGGATATGGGGGGTTGAGCTTCCTGGGTTAGACATTGCTGCTGCTGGCTCCATTGTGAATGTGATCCCAGAGCCCTGGGGTCTGTGCCGGGGACAGACCTTCATTAAAGTCCCCCCTGTGCCCAGCTGAGATGTGACCTTCTCCAGTGGGAACCAGCCTCCTAGGGCAGCCCCGACATTAACACCTGAGCCGGAGGCTCCCGGTAACAGAGAGAAATGGGGGGAAGGGCTGAGGATGGGCAGGACAGTGACTCTGCACAAAGAGCCCCAGGAGCCTCAGATCTCTTGGGAATCTGCTGCCTTGTTGAGGTGCCTGCAGGAGGGAGCTGGGATGCGGTACCAGGGGCAGAGGGGACCCTGAACAGGCCCTGGGAGGGTTTCCCTTTGTGTCTCTGGGGATGGAGTCAGGAAGAGAAGGGAGGGGGAATAAGGCAGAGCAGGAGAGACAGTGCAAGGTGGTAGATTTAACCAGCTCTGCCCAGTGAGGGAGGTTACAGGGAGAGGAGAGGCAGCACAGAGGAGACAGAAGAATGGGGGCTGTGTGTTAATTCTCCATATTAAACTCTTCTACCATTACTGCCCCCCCCCAACAGAAATTAGCCATGGGGTCCTCTCAGTGGATAAATCTCCCCCATAGCTAAGTGCTGACAGGGACCTGTTTGCTCCATCAGACGCATCAGAGCTAAAAGGACTTTGGCTGGGTGTGTCTTCCATGCAACCTCCCTTCAAAGAATGCAGGCCACACTTACAGGTTGGGAGGCTCTAGCCTGGGAAGCAGTGATGCTGACAAAGATTTGGGGGTTGAGGGGGATAATCAGCTGAACACGAGCTCCCGTTACAGCTGTCATAACTATAAAGGGAAGGGTAACAGCCCTCCTGTGTACAATACTATAAAATCCCTCCTGGCCAGAGACTCCAAAATCCTTTTACCTGTACAGGGTTAAGAAGCTCAGCTACCTGGCTGACACCTGACCCAAAGGACCAATAAGGGGACAAGATACTTTCAAATCTTGGGGGGGGGGAAGGCTTTTGTTTGTGCTCTTTGTTTTGGTGAGAGTTCGCTCTTGGGACTAAGAGGGACCAGACATCAATCCATGCTCTCCAAATCTTTCTGAACAAGTCTCTCATATTTCAAACTTGTAAGTACAGCCAGGCAAGGCGTGTTAGTTTTATCTTTGTTTTCTCAACTTGTAAATGTACCTTTTACTAGGGTCTTTACCTCTGTTTGCCGTAACTTTAAACCTAAGGCTAGAGGGGGGTCCTCTGGCCTCTTTAAGTTTGATTACTCTGTAAAGTTATTTTCGATCCTGATTTTACAGAGATGATTTTTACCTTTTTCTTTAATTAAAAGCCTTCTTTTTAAGAACCTGATTGATTTTTCCTTGGTTTTAGATCCAAGGAGGTTGGATCTTGATCCACCAGGAGTTGGTGGGAGAGAGGAGGGGGGATGGTTAATTTCTCCTTGTTTTAAGATCCAAGGGGTTTGGATCTGTATTCACCAGGGAATTGGTGAAGAGTCTCTCAAGGCTACCCAGGGAAGGGAATTAGCACATTGGGAGTGGTGGCAGTGGACCAGATCTAAGCTGATAGTTAAGCTTAGAAGTTTTCATGCAGGCCTCCACATCTGCACCCTAAAGTTCAGAGTGGGGAAGGAGCCTTAACAACAGCTAATGCAATTCTGGGCTGTATAAACAGGAGAATCTTGAGTATCAGTAGAGAGATTATTTTACCTCTATATTTGATCCTGGTGTGACCACTGCTGGAGTCTGTGCCCAGTTTTGGTGCTCACAATTCAAGAAGGATGGTGATAAATTGGAGAGGGGTCAGAGAAGAGCCACAAGAATGATTAAAGGATTAGAAAACCTGCCTGAGAGTGACAGACTCAAGGATCTCAGTCTATTTAGCTTAACAAAGGGAATGTTAAGGGGTGACTTGATTACAGTGTATAAATACCTACCAGGGCCAGCTCTAGCGTTTTTGCTGCCCCAAGTAGCAAATAAATAAATAAATCATGATTGGTGGCAATTCGGCGGCAGCTCTACCGCCGCTTCATTGTACGGCGGCAATTCTGCGGCGGGTCCCTCACGCCTCTCAGAGCTTGCTACGCTGGTGCCTGGAGCCGGCCCTAATACCTACATGGGGAATAAATATTTGATAATGGGCTCTTCAGTCTAGCAGAAAAATATATGGCATGAACCAATGGCCAGAAGTTGAAGCTAGACAAATTCGGCCAGTAAATAAGGTGTAAATTTTGATGGTGTAAGTAATTAACTATTGGAACAATTTACCAAGGGTCATGGTGGATTCCCCATCCCTTACAATTTTTAAATCAAGACTGGATGTTTTTGTAAATGATCTGCTTTAGGAATTATTTTGAGGGTTTTCTCTGGCCTGGTTTGTTATAAGGGGGTCAGACGAGATGATCACAGTGATCCCTTCTGCCCTTGGAATCTATGAATCCTTGTAAATTCTTTGAGGCTTCCTGTAAGTGATTCCAGAGATCCTGTGAAGGGATCTGGACCCTCAGAGTTTGTGCCTGTCTGAATGTAAATGACTATTCCTTACCAAAAGCTATAGCCATATGCAGAGGGGGATTCTTAATGTTCAGCTGTTTGTCTTTTAAAATAATAAATCTCTGAACATTTCCAGGACTTCAAAGCAGTCATTTAAAATAAGTGATGTTTTGCTGGGGAGAAAATGCCCATCAAATGTAATCCAAAATGGGGTAGATTGGATTGTCCATCAGTGGAAGGGTTTAAATCAGGAATGGAATCTTCCCAAAAGATTTGCTGTAGCTCAATGAGACGTTACAGGCTTCATGCAGGGATATTTTCTGGTCTGTTTTATGCAGGAATTCAGATTAGATGATCACATTTGCCCTCAATCTATTAAATTTCATAGAGTCAGAGAACATCAGGGTTGGAAGGGACCTCAGGAGGTCATCTAGTCCAACCCCCTGCTCAAAGGAGGACCAATACCCAGACAGATTTTTGCCCCAGATCCCTAAATGGCCCCCGCAAGGATTGAACTTACAATGCTGGGTTTAGCAGGCCAATGCTCAAACCACTGAGCTATACCTCCCCCCTTGTGTGAGCACTTTGCCCATCCCATCAGCATTGTCTTCATTAGTGTGATTAACTAGTGGTAGAAAGGTGTGATTTATGGATGAAGAGGTGAGATGATGTATCCAGAATTTTTAAAGGTGACCTGAAAAAGATCAGATCATTGGTTTTGTGACCATTTTTGCTCCTTTGTGCTCAGTCAAGGCCTGGGAGGTATTTTATTCCTTTTAAAATGATAAAATATGGCTTTAGCCCTAATTTTCCCAAAAGAATCTGTGGGGAACTGGAGAACTAGTAGCTTTGTTACATCCAAGGAATCTAGCACATGAAATCAGGAGGTTTTTTTTATGCCAGTGACTATAGAATATAAGTGGCTGACTGAGAGAGGAATGTGCTTTTTGTTCAGTCAGTTTAAGCATATTTTCAAAACTGGTTTGTTTTTGTAACATAGCTTAACTCCAGATGCTTGGTGGAAAAGATCTGTTAGTTCAAGAATCAGCAACTCCTGGGCAGATTGACTTTCCTGGGAACGACATGAGGAGCAGAGAGAGGAAAAGCCAGCTTCTTCCTCTGCCTCGTTGCTGTGCTGCTGGGGGAAATGTGCTGCCCTCGGGGGCAGAGTCAGGGGGATTCTCCCAAAGCGGCTCCTTTGGTTTTGCTCTTTTCCAGCGTTAGGTTCAGAGACTCTGTTTGTGGGGGGTGTAAACCTGTCTCGGTGGGTTTAGTCCTGGTGGCAGGAGCTGGGTCTGTTCTGGAATGAAGCGACCGAGGGCTTGGCTACACTTGCGAGTTACAGCGCAATAAGGAGCCCCGGGTGCCTGGCTCACTCCCCACACTGGCAAGGCACATAGAGCGCTCTGACTCCGCAGCTACAGTGCGGCTGGTACTCCACCTTGGCGAGTGGAATAACGTTTGCTGCGCCCCCGCTGGAGCGCTGCGGCGCCAGTATGAACGAGGTGTTGCTTTACTGTGCTCTGATCAGCCTCCGGAAATGTCCCATAATCCTTAAGTCAAGTGGCCACTCATGTCATTGTTTGGAATCGGCTGTAGAAATGCGGAAATGCCCGTTGAAAGCTCCGTTTCTGACAGCTGGCTGCTTATCAAAGCAACCATTACTGTGGAATGATGTGTGTGAGGGAGAAAGGCGGTGGGGGTGTCTGCTGCTGTCTGAACTTACAAGACAGCATGCTGACATACTCTCAGCCTCCCAAAAACCCACTCTCTCTCCCCCCACATACACACAACACACTCCCTGTCACACTCCAGCCCCCCCACACACACTTGAAAAGCACGTTGTAGCCACTTGCATGCTGGGATAGCTGCCCATAATGCACCGCTCCCAATGCTGCTGCAAGTACGCAAATGTGGCCACGCCAGTGCGCTTGAAGCTGTCAGTGTGGACAGACTGCTGCGCTTTCCCTACTGCGCTCTATGAAGGCTGGTTTAACTCAAAGCGCTCTACATCTGCAAGTGTAGCCATGCCCTGAGTGTTTTCAGCATCACGGTGTCTAGAACATCTGTATGCAGGGAAAGCGCCTGCTGCGAATTGGGGAATGAAATGTCCTAAAGCCCCCCCAACCCTTCTCCCTCCCTGACAGGCTGCAGAATAATGTCTATGATTCACTGCAGCTCGGTGGCTCCCAGACTTGAGTGGTTCACATCCCCCCTCAAACACATGTGGATAGAATGTCAAGCTCTCTCTGTGCCTGGGAGTCACATACCATAGTTTGGGAACCTCTGCTCCAGATCATCCTGTCCTCCCAGTCGATGGGGAAGGGAGACGGCTGTTGGGGAGCTGTGGGGCAGGGGGTTCATCTGGATGTGGGAGAGGGACATTAATACAGGAGGAGAAGAGAAGGGGAAAGGAAAAACCTTTTGGGTCTTTTGCTTTTTACCCAACAAACACAATATGGAGAAATCACAGCTGGGTTCCAAATAACTAACGATACCCAAACACACAAGGCCAAGCTACAAAGGCACCGCTGCCTGGACTGGTTTCTGTAAGCTCCGTGTCTGCCTGCATTGCAGCTGGAGGTGTAATTTCCAGCTTGGGTAGGCATATCCTGCAATGGAGAACAGGGTGAGCACTACTAGAGGGCTCACAATTTTTTAAAGAGATACTACCCTACTCTTAGACATTTCTCCTTCTTCAGTGTGGGGCCTGAACCTCAGGGTGAGACCAAGCAGGAGAGGGTTGGAAATTCCCCTGTGTGGGGACACAACCCCCTCAGTGGGCTGGTATCCGAGGCCTAGTGCCAGTCCGCAGCACTCAAAGCCACAAATCCCTCCGGAAGGTCAGGAGATGGGCTTGAAAACCACAAGTTCTTAAAACCCTCCAGCATTTGTGGCAATTTTATTTCCCTTCTGACTTTTGGGGGGAAGCTGCTTAGAGTGTGTGTGTGCGTGCACCTGCTCCCAGTGTGTGCGTGTGTGAACCTGTTCCCAGTGTGCGTGTGCACCACATCACAGTGACAAAACTCAGCTGTAGCAGTGCACATGCAAAAATGTAGCCTCTCAGTCCCCTGCTGTCAGAGGGACTCTGCCCACTGACCCCCCTTCCCCTGTCCACTCTCCTGCCCCACACTCCCCACAGTCTCCTCTGGCCACCTGTTCCTTTAGGCCTTTCCCTTTACAGTCTCCTACATCCCGTATCTGCCACCCTATATTGGCCCTGCACTCCCTATTCACCTGTCCCCCGCAGCCTCCTGCCCCCCACCTCCCTCTGCCCTCCATTCTGCTCCCCACAGGCCCCTGACCCTCCACAGCCTCCATCCTGCCCCCACCTCCCCATCCCCTCTGCTTACCTTCTCCCCCATTCCTCTGCCCCTCAACCTCATTCCTGCCCCATATTCCATTGCACCCCTCAGCCTCCCCGCCACCTCCTCAACCTCCCTCCTGCCCCCCCATGTCCTCCTGCCTCCTTCAGTCTGCTTCTGCCACATTTCCGTTGTTCCTCAGAGTTTCCCATCCAGTCGAAACCCGCAGCCATATTCCCTGGGGAAAACGTGGCTTCAGTCTCACTGAAAACAATGGGAGTGGGTGGCCATCTTTACTAGTGCAGGGGCAGCTGTGCCACCACACACCAGAGCTGCAGGGAGACGGTAGCTGTTTGGAATAAGGGCAGTTTGACTCCGTCCCCCCAGTGAGAATAACAGGAAACGGAAAAAGGAAAACAGGCGAGCTCTGTGCCGGGAATCGCAAGATGGTGGGAAACATTGAGCTAAAGATTGGGAGCCTTGTGAGAAAATTGTCAGAGCTAGCAGCTCGGGGTGTCCTGGTTTCCCTGCAGATGCAGATTGTTTTAAGTTAAAGCTTTTGGGAATCGCCCCAGGAAAGTTCTCTGCTCTCGGTGGGCCAGGCGACTCCCAGCCTTGCCCCTGATGGTGCTGCTGTGATTGTGGCTGCGGCAGCAGTTTCTGAGTGGGGGAATGTCTCTGTTCCAGGGGCCAGTTGTGCATTTCACTGAGGGGTAGTGGGCTGTGCTGGACCCCGGCCAGAGACCCTTGACAGGGACATCATGCAGGAGAATTGTGAGGCCGTGACCTTGCTGGTTAAGGATTCCTGTCCCCTCTGTCACACCCAGGGCAGCTTCTGCTCCGGGTTCTTTCTGGGTCCTTAGATTTCAGGAGTATCAGCTCCATAGCCCCCATGTGAGCGACTGTCCCCTCCACATCCCCACCCATGGGAGAGGAGATTTGGAGATATAGTGGAGAGGCTACTGGCTTCATCTCCATCCCTAGAGCTTCCAAGGGAGAGGGTGGAGGTACCTCGCTGCATCTTTACATGTGGGCATGCACTGACACACAGAGAGATTTTGTGTGTCCCTCCCTTGCCAGGACTGTCCCTGATCTCAGAGAGGGCTCTGGTCTCAGCAGGGCTAGAAAGGGGGAAGAAGTTGTGCTACTATGCTGGCCCGAGTCATAAAATTCCCCAGGGCATGAAAACCCCTGAATCTCCTGCAGGGGGCACCACACGTCTCCCAGGAACCACCTGACCTCCCCAGAGGGCCTTCAGGAACATTTCCTCCTCCATTTGGCTTATATGAAGGCACCCACCCCGCATCAACTCTGTCTCAGAATGACTAAATTGTTAGCTCTTTGGGGTAGGAGTCAACTACTGCTCTGTGTTTGAGGCCCCACTCTTGTCTGGCCCTTTGGCAGAAAGGTAACAAACATGAATAATGATAATAATAAACCCTTCGGCTCACCTATTTTACTTCCTCTGAGCAGGTCTTCCAGTTTTCATCCTGACGTGATCTCCCAGCTGGAACAAGAGGAAGAGCCGTTGGGTCCTGGATCTCCCAAGGCTCTGAGGAAAGAGGGACCCTGAGAAACGTTCATACAGGTGAGGAATTGGCTACATGGGCATGGAAACCATCCGCCATCGACACAAACAGCTGGGATTGCCGCTGAGGCCCTGTGAGGTCCCCCAGCTCTGCTGCATCTCACCCAGGTCACGACTGTGCCCAGCCGGAGTCGTATCCTCATGGGAGATGTCACTCATGGCTCTCGCCTCTCGGCAATTGCTCCCTTCTCCTGAATGTTCGGATGGGGCGTGGCAGCAGAATTGGTCCCCTTTCTGGGGAAGGGCTGGTGGGGGTTTGGGCTCCTGAGTATTCAATCTCCCCAGTAATTATTTTATAAAATAAATAAATTATTTTGATTTCTCCCCCCTCCTTTCCCAGTCCCCTTTCTGAGGTTGCCTCTCCCTGGCACAGGGGACGATTCCTGTCTGGATACTCCCTCTATCCCGGCAGGTGATGGGATGGTGAGTGAAAACGAGGAGACGAATCCTAAGCAGGAAATCCCTGAGCAAGTGGAACCACATGGGACAGCACTGGGACCATCCAAAGGGAACATTTCCTGGAGGGGTGAGCAGGAAGCAACCTGCGAGGGTCGGTGCGGGCTGGAGAGGCAGCAGGGAACCCCCCAGTGAAGAGACGAGGTAACTCCACTCAGAGAGGTTTGAAGGACCGCAGTGAAACCATGCTCCAGCTTAGAACCCGCACTAAAGAGAAACCGTATGAATGTCCTGAGTGCGGGAGGAGCTTCACTCGCAACTCACACCTTATTGTGCATCACAGGATCCACACAGGAGAGAGGCCCTATGACTGCCTGGACTGTGAGAAGGGGTTCACTCAGGGTGCCGACCTGACGAAGCACCAGAGAACCCACACAGGAGAGAGACCCTATCGCTGCCCTGAGTGCGGAAAACAGTTTGCCACTTTCTCCTCCCTTATTTCACACCGGAGACTTCACACGGGAGAGAGACCCTACAAATGCCCCGAGTGTGGGAAAAGCTTCAGTGCCAGCTCCAACCTTATTGTGCACCAGAGAACCCACACTGGGCAGAGGCCCTGGACATGCCCCGACTGTGAGAAAAGCTTCAGCGTGAGCTCCAACCTTATCGCCCACCAGAGGATCCACACGGGAGAGAGACCCTATAAATGCCCCGAGTGCGGGAAAGAGTTCACTCAGAGCTCCCACCTCATTTCCCACCAAAGAATTCACACGGGAGAGAGACCCTACGAATGCCTCGATTGTGGGAAGAGCGTCAGCGAGGGCTCAGACCTTACTAAGCACCAGAGGATTCACACGGGAGAAAGACCCTATAAATGTCCTGAGTGTGGAGAAAGCTTCAGCCAGAGCTCCAGCCTGATTAAACACCAGAGAGTCCACACCAGGAAAAAACCCCTATAACTACCCTGAGTGCGGGATAAGTTTCCAGCTGAGCTCCACCCTTATTGCTCATCAGAGAATCCACGCAAGAGAGACTCTATAAATGTCCATTCTGTGGGGAAGGCTGCAAGTGGAAGATCTCTCTAATGTCCCACTAGACACGCCACAGAGAAGGTGGCAGGAGCTCTCCCTGAATGTAATGATTCTATGCCCTGCTGACGCAACGTACAAACGTGCTTCATTTCAGGATGGTCTAGGTAGAGGGGGGCCAGGTGGATGTTTTGGGTTTCAGTGTGGCCAGAGGAGGGAGCACTGGGTACTGGGGAGACGGGTTATTTCAAGGTCTGCGTGGAGCAGGTGTTGAAATTAGTGAGGAGACATTTCTGCAGGGGCCACACACACTTGCCAGGTCAGAGAAGAGGTGAAGATGCCCCATTGCACTTTGCGTCCATGTTGTCTCTGCAGCTCCCAAAGCCTCTCAGGGTGGGGGTGAGGGCAGGGGATGCTGTTGTTATAATTATTGGTGTCATGGCCCATGACCCTCTGCACCAGGCACTGTGCAAACATGGAATGAAAAGCCAGTCCCTGCCCCAAAGAGTTTACAATCTAAGTGGAGAAACGGGACAACAGATGGAGACGGACAGATGGGGGGCGGGGATCCAAGAAAGAAGACAGTATTGGTAGCATGACGGGTAGCATGCTCAGCATACCAGCACCCTAACCACTGTCAGGTTTTTTTGCAGGCCTCACAGCAAAGGAGAGTTTTAAGTTTTTCAGGGAAAGAGTGGGGGGCCCTGTGGGTCCATAGTATAAAGCAACAAGAGCTGCTGATCCGAAGTGAGAGGATGGACTCTTAAATGCAGGGGCTGGAGACTGGGGAATTCAAGGGGGAGATTCCCAGAGAGATGGGAGATTGCCCTGTTCCTGAGAGTGCAGTATGGTGTAGTAGTGAGAGCAGGGGGAATTGGGCCTCAGGAGTCCTGGGTTTAGTTCCTAGCTCCAAGCGGGAGTGTGATCTAGTAGTTAGAGCAGGGTGGGGGTGACTGCTGAGCTCAATAACCAGCTCTGCTAGTGTCACTTCATCCCAATCACTTCCTCTCCTTTCTCTGCGTGTGCCTCTTCCATCTGTGCAATGGGGATAAGTCACACACCATCCCAGGGAGTCGTCACTAATTACTGTGTGTTCAGAGGCTCAGGAGGACAGAGGTGCCAAGGGAGGGGAAGTGTCATTGTTACTGTGTTTCATTATTATCTGATCCTCTCCCATCCCACCCCAGCTGTCTCATTAGTGGAAGGGATTTACTGAGCTGAAGGGGAGGGTTTCATCTGTTTCTAGGGAGGGGCTCAGCTCACGTTGTCACATACTGGGCTTATTCCTGAACTAACTGCCCTGGGAGGGCTTTTCTTTTTGTTTCTGGATGGGGCAGGGGAGAGGTGGGGTCCTGTTTTTTTGGTTTTCTGCAATAGCAGAGACTGGATCGAATGACACAGAAGCCCCCTTCCAGTTCTATGTTCCTGCTTCTGGAAACGCAAGTTTCAGAGGAATGTTTATGTCTTGCTAAAGTTTTTACCTAATTGGATTTTGATTTTCCCAGATAAATTCCTAATAAAATGTTTATTGTGAATCCCTCGTCTCCCTGAGAATTTCCTGTTCTCGAGCTCTAGATGTGGGGAGTGAAGTGCCAGACAGGGACATTCCCCAGCCCCCCTGTTATTTTCTCCCCATCAGCAGGAATTACTGGCTCCCCCATATCCAGCCATTCACTGATGTCTCTGCTCCCCTGATGTTCGAAGTGGGGTCCGGGTGCCTCCACGTCTTTCTTCTTGCAGCCCTTTGTGCCTCAGGGCTCAGTCTCTGTGTCCTCCCTTCCCCTCTCCTGGGGGTTAATTGCTGCAGGGGTTAACAAGCCACCCAGGCAGAATCCAGGTGCTCCAGCTGGGTGTGAGCCCCCAAGGCCAGTTCCCAGTGGGCTGGAGCCAGGCACATGGCCAGACGGGGAGCAGCCTAGCTCCTTGTCCCCAGCACCGTCTCCAGCATCTGTCCCCACTCAGCTCTGTGCCCAACGGGTCTGAACAGTGACCTTTTCCTGTGGACACAGAGCAGTGCAGGGCTGTTTACGTCCTGACCACACTTTATCCCAGCATCCCTGTTCCTGGGGCTCAGACCCTGATGGACACTGAGTCAGAGACCCATAGATCAGCCAAGGTTGGGAGTTCGTTTCCCCAGGAATTGAAACTAAAATAGCTAAAAGAGATTATTGTTAATCACCTAGGCAAGAATCTCTCATAATTTGCCTATGATTAAAACCTCTCTGTCCCTCCCAACCTAGCTAAAAAGAACTAGTTACCAAGGCCTGGTCTACACTACGGGGTTAGGTCGAATTTAGCTGTGTTAGGTTGATTTAAAAATTAATGCGTCCACACAACCAACCCCGTTCCGTCAACCTAAAGGGCTTTTAAAATTGACTTCTGTACTCCTCCCCGACGAGGGGAGTAGCGCTAAAATCGACCTTGCTGGGTCGAATTTGGGGTAGTGCAGATGCAAATCGATGGTATTGGCCTCCGGGAGCTATCCCAGAGTGCTCCATTGTGACCGCTCTGGACAGCACTTTGAACTCCGATGCACTAGCTAGGTACACAGGAAAAGCCCCGGGAACTTTTGAATTTCATTTCCTGTTTGGTCAGCATGGCGAACTCAGCAGCACAGGTGACCATGCAGTCCCCCCCAGAGTCGTAGAGCATAGAATGTTTCTACGCTCCCCTATCATCTCCGTCCCTGAGGTTATCGCAGATTAGAAGGCGAAAAAACCTCACTCGCGAGGACACATTTTCCAAATTCATGCAGTCCTCCCGCACTGATAGGACACAGCTTAATGCCTGGAGGCATTCAGTGGCAGAGGCCAGGAAAGAATTAAGTGAACGTGAAGAGTGGAGGCAGGATGCGATGCTGAGGCTAATGGGGGAGCAAACAGACATGATGAAGTGTCTATTGGGGAGCAAACGGACATGATGAAGCGTCTGTTGGAGTTGCAAGAAAGCCAACAAGAGCACAGACCCCGCTGCATCCACTGTATAACCACCTACCCTCCTCCCCATGTTCCATAGCCTCCTCACCGAGACGCCCAAGAACGTGGGGGGAGGCTCTGGGCACCCAGCTACTCCACTCCAAAGGATGGCCCAAGCAACAGAAGGCTGTCATTCAAACAGTTTGATATGTAGTGTGGCTACAATAAGCAATGTGGCCTTCTCCTTCCCTCCTCCCCAGGGTCGGCTCCAGGCACCAGCTTAACAAACAGGTGCTTGGCGCGGCCAACCGAGAGGGGCAGCACGTGTGGCAATTCGGCGGCGGTGGGTCCCTCACTCCCTCTGGGAGCGAAGGACCTGCCGCCAAATTGCCGCCGCTGATCACAATCGCGGCTTCTCCCCCCCCGAATTGCTGCCGCCGATGCATGGTTTCAAAACAATAGTTACTTTATTTCGAAGGGGGGAGGGTGATTGGCTTACAGGGAATTAAAATCAACAAAGCGGGTGGGTTTGCTTCAAGGAGAAACACACACAACTGTCACACTAAAGCCTGGCCAGTCATGAAACTGGTTTTCAAAGCCTTTCTGATGTGCAGGACTCCTTGCTGTGCTCTTCTAATTGCCCTGGTGTCTGGCTGCTCAAAATCGGACACCAGGCAATTTGCCTCAACCTCCCACCCAGCCATAAATGTCTCCCCCTTACTCTTACAGCTATTATGGAGCACACAGCAAGCAGCAATAACAATGGGAATGTTGGTTGTGCTGAGGTCTGATCTAGTCAGCAAACAGCGCCAGCGAGCTTTTAAATGTCCAAAGGCACATTCTACCACCATTCTGCACTTGTTCAGCCTATAGTTGAACTGCTCCTTACTACTATCCAGGCTTCATGAGCCATGGGAGCAAGGGGTACGCTGGGGTAGGTGCGACTGTGCGGTGCTGCCAGCTGGGAGAGCAGCCTGAGGCAGAAGCTTCCAGCTCGCATGATATTCCAGGCAGGACTGAAATGAGACGAAACTTAAAGAGGAGAATGACCTGGAGTCTCTGGCTCCCATTCAGTGCTCTAAGAGGAGGATAGCCACATCTGTCCAGGCGCCCCTGATCGACCTCACCGAGGTCTGCCAGGAGCACCCAGGAGACGTACAACAGCTATCAGTCCTACTGCACCATCTGCTGCGAAGGCAAGGAGCTGCTGCTGTGTAGCAATGCAGTACCATGTCTGCCAGCAGCACCCAGAAGATGTACAGTGATGGTGAGCTGAGCGGGTTCCATGCTTGCTGTGGTATGGCATCTGCACGCGTAACCCAGGAAAAAAGGCATGAAACAATTGTCTGCCGTTGCTTTCATGGAGGGAGGAAGGCCTGATGACATTTACTCAAAACCACCTGCGACAATGTTTTTGCCCCATCAGGCATTGGGAGCTTAACCCAGAATTCCAATGGGCAGCGGAGACTTCGTGTGGACATACGCAATCGACTGTATAAAATTGGTTTCTAAAAATCAACTTCTATAAAATCGACCTAATTTTGTAATGTATACATACCCCAAGCAAGGGTGACACCCTGTTTTTCTATGCAAAGGAGCCCACTGCACAGTGTGTGTGGATCAAGAGATGGGTGGGGGAGCTGCAAGCTAAGCAAACTAGAAATGACCGGTTGTAAGATTGAAGGTCAAATTGGGCAAACTGTCTGTTACCCCAAGAAATCCAAGCAGCATGTTTCCACCCCAAATTATAAACTATACATTGTTTTCCTTGCAAAGCAAATATACCATGGATAACCTGTCTGTGATTTTATATGATTTTATAAAAATATGCTAATGAGTGTGAATATAATGTAGCTGGAATATGCTTCATGCAAAAGGTCTCTTGTAAGGTATCATTATAAAGCTTATAATCTACTGAGTGTGGTCATCCTATTTGTATAAATATATCACTCTTGTATCTGAAACTAGAAATACGAAATATTACTCTGAGGTCCTATTGTAGTTATGCAAAGTGTGGGCCATTAATGGTGGTTTGGAAACTTAATGGCTCCCATTAACCAGGACAATTACCTGTAGATGGCTCAGTTTTACTTACTCAGTAAGTCTCCCTGTATACCTGTGGGCTGGCAAGTGGGTAATGAAGTCTTACAGTGACATGTGATCATGTCACCTGAACTGGAATCCATCTTTAACCTGGTGCTTTTCCATTGAGAAGGAGGGGTGGGAACCCAGAGGGACAAAGAATTCCCGCCTTATGCAAAAGATATATAAGTGGGTGGAACAGAACAAAGGGGGCAGCCATCATGAGAAATCCCCTAGCTACCACCTGAGCTGGAACAAGGGCTGTACCAGGGAAAAGGATTGTGCCCAGACTAGGAAGGTGTCCAGTCTGTGAAAGAAACATATTGAAACATCTCTGAGGGTGAGATTTTACCTATATTCAGTTCTATTACTGTATTAGGCTTAGACCTGCGTGTTTTATTTTATTTTACTTGGTAACTCACTTTGTTCTGTCTGTTACTACTTGGAACCACTTAAATGCTGCTTTCTGAATTTAATAAAATAACTTTGTACTTATTAATTAACGCAGAGTATGTATTAATACCGGAGGGGGGGCAAACAGCTGTGCATATCTCTCTATCAGTGTTATAGAGGGCGAACAATTTATAAGTTTACCCTGTATAAGCTTTATACAGGGTAAAATGGATTTATTTGGGATTTGGACCCCACTGGGAGTTGAGCATCTGAGTGTTAAAGACAGGAACACTTCTTAAGTGCATCCGAAAGAAGTGGGCTGTAGTCCAAGAAAGCTTATGCTCTAATAAATTTGTTAGTCTCTAAGGTGCCACAAGTACTCCTGTTCTTTTTTTTGCGGATACAGACTAACACGGCTGCTACTCTGAAACTTCTTAAGTGTGCAGCTTTGGGACATGTGGTTCAGACCCGGGTCTGTGTTGGATCAGACTGGCGTGTCTGGCTCAACAAGACAGGGTGCTGGAGTCCCAAGCTGGCAGGGAAAGCAGTGGCTGGAGTAGTCTTGGCATATCAGTTGGCAGCCCCAAGAGGGTTTCTGTGATCCAACCCGTCACACTGTCTTTCACCCCAAATTAGTATGGGGAACATTTTTGTCTTGTGAGTCAGATCCTTCCATATGGGAATAATGTGTTTTGTTCTATTGTAAACCCTAAATAATGTGACATGTTTATATACAACCAAAGAATGCATGGAGTATGTCCTCCAAATGTAGAAAATTATAAGGGATTTATAGGAGGGACCTTAGAAGTAATAGGATTTGCCTGGCACAAGGAAGAAGGAATGCTGAAAGACATAAATCATGATATAACTTTGGAATATTAAGAGATATTCCTTTAAAGGCTGGGGGAGGATTCTAGGTGATAGTAAGGGCTAATAATGAAATACAATTCTTGAACTGAATCAGATAAGAAAAGGATTGAAGACATTTTTTATACACCAGCACCATCTACTGGATATTTGTGGGAGCAGCAGAGAAAATGAGAACTGAAATCTGAGAACTGACTTGGCCCATGTCCAATAGAAATCAGAGCGTAGCCCCCTCCATCGAGCTCTGAAATTAGGGTACGTAAA